CAGTAGGTATTTTCATAGACCAAAGGCCAAATGTGCGATAGAGTTCCAAACGAAAGAACCCTTCCTAATCAAGGTGGGTAGGCATGCTTCATTGAACTCGGTACTTAGATCGGAGAACTTTCACCCATAAGGCTTCCGGTTGCAAGATGAGATTATAGCCTAGTTTAATCAAGAAAGCTTCGTTCTGGGTTTGGAGCGAGCAAATTCCTAAGCCACCATGGCTTAGAGGTTGACAGCAATTCTTCCAATTAACAAGCGCGACCTTAGAGCGGTTAGTTATCCCACCCCAGATGAATCACATGGTAATTTGGTCGGACACACCTTTAGAAATGGCTACTATCTACATGAAATAATTAGGAATCGTCAGGAGAGTGGCTTTTGCCAAGGTGACTCGGCCCGCCATGGAAAGTCTAAGACCACTCACTGATTCATCTTGTTACGAACTTTGTCAATAATAAATTGGAATGTGTTCTGGGTGACTCTACTATGGAAGAGGGGCATACCTAGATACCTGCCAATATCACTGGAACATTGGAACCCCGAAGACAAGCTAAATTGATCGGCTAGATTTTCATCGATATTCTCCGAAAATAAAATTTTAGTCTTACTCTAATTAACTTTGTGGCCAGAGGATCTGCTAAATTGATCGAGGATGGCTCCGATGAAGGAGGCTTGACTTTAAGAAGCTTAACACAACAGAGTAAGATCATTTGCAAAAAAAAAAAAAAGGTGATAAAGCTTGAGTCCTCAACGGGATAAGACCATAGGTTCCTATAAGTCGGAATCCATAGCATAGTGGATATTGTGGGCGAGATGCTTCATGTAAAGAACAAAGAGACACGACGAGAACAGACACCCTTAATGTTTAACTCGAAACGACTTAAAGTCTTCAGACAGGGAGCCATTCCAAAGAGGAAAAAGAACATTTATCATTTAAGATAACATGGATATTGATACTATGATAAACAAGGAATCCAAAATTAATTGATAGCAATTAGCAAGTGAATAAAATTTGGATACAATACCACAAAGAAACTGTTAATTTATATCGAATAACATCACAAGTATGGGAAAACATAACACTTTAATTTGATACAATTTGATTCTTTATTTGTTTACACGAATTGCTAATTTTTAACTCAAACACTAAATTAAGTTGAAAAATTTTGTTCCTTATTTTTACTCTTTAGGCTATACTTTGTCTTGGATATCGGCCATTATTGTTGGACCTTGCAGGCCTTACAAACTTATATTATACCTAACCTCCATATCCGATTGCCTCAACTCTAAACGCGCCAATGCCGGTTTTATTTCCCTCTCAAAACAAGGGCAACTCGGTAATTCTACTCTTTGCTTTCCCCCTTATAAACCCTAACATCCCCCGCTTTCTTCAGGATGCGTTTCTGGATCTAATTCTCACAGCCGCTGCCCTTATCTCCATCACCTCCGCTACTCCCACGTCTTTCACACGATATGTAGAAGCGTTTCATTTATTTCTTATTTAACTTTTACGAAATGCCCATTTTTGTGTTTCACTCCTAAAACCTGTATTTTACTATCTGCTGATGGCGCAACCGCAGTGAATGGAATGAAAAACGTAACCTTGTTTTACATGGTGGCTTGACAGCTCTTATCCGATGCATCCGTTTTTTGTGCTGTTAAAAATGATATCAGATTTCAAAGTTTGTTGAATTGGATTTTGCCCAGTGATGGATAACTTATTTAATGAGTAGCTTTTCTGATTTTTGTTTTTGGGCGTTTACAATCATCATCTGTTGTTCTCTCTCTCTCTCTCTCTCTTCTTCTTCTTCCTCTTCTTCTTCTTTCCTCTCTTCTTTTCTTGTTTCTCTTTCTCTTCCTCTCTTCAGCGGATGATGGGTAAATTCCTTTTAATGGAAGTCAGTTTGTTAATGCTGCGAAAGACCAAATATAGCTATGAGATCTGAGGGTTTAAATTTCATAATTATTTTTCTTTTTTTTTCCAGATGATTTACCCTTAGCAGAATGCATGGTTGTTTGGGGTTTTCTAAATGATAATTCTTTTAGCTGTTAGTTTGTCGCTTAGTAACTACAGTAGGGAATTGTAATGATACTGGGTAGTAGTTTGATTTCGTTATACGTGTTGTATGACACTTTAGCATCATTCTTCGTTATATGGTAGTAATGATAGTGGAAATATAATGATATCTTTTAGTAGTCTATATAGTTTCTTCTTTTTTAATGTTATATGGGGATCTACAAATTTGTATTTGATTTCATTCAGACTGTTTTGGCCCAACGATGGACGACACTTTTTTGATTGCGATGGTTTTTGTCTTCGGTTCATCTTCGGCTTTTGCCTTTAGCACATCACCTCCCCTCTTCATTCTCTCTCTCTATATATATATATATCTCACCACATGCAATGCATTAATTTTTCCTCTTATATATAAACCATATATTCATTTCTTTGGAGGGTAGGTGATGTGTGAAAAGCTCTTGATGAATTTGTGTAGAATTGGTCCGTACATGATCTTGATATAGCTATGAGATATAAGAGCTTTTTTAATTTTTATACTATTGCATCAGTGAAAGTTAAAGTATTTTAGTTGTTTACTAAGAAAAACTGTTTCCGTATGGTATAGGCTGGATAACAGAAAATGATTTTACTTTCAATCTAAGATAATGAGTGGTGTTTTCTGTTTAAATTTATACCTCCCATTTGTTTAAGAGCTTTGGTTTTTGACCAAAGATGTATCAGGTTCTAAGTTTGGTTAATTGGAGTTTGCCTAATGATGGATAAAACTCATTGAATGGAGCAGCTTTTCTGATTTTTGTTTTTGGGCGCTTACAATTATCATTCGTTGTTCTATCCCCCCCCCCCATCTCTCACTTTGTGTTCCTTCCTCTCTTGCTTCTCTTTCTCTTCCTCCGGCTTATGATCGGGAAATTCCTTTCATGAAAACCAGTTCGTCAATGCTGCGAATGACCAAATATAGCTTTGAGAACCGAGGGCTTTTTAAACATTTTCTTAATTTCAGATTCAATTATTCTATTTTTGCATTTGATTTACTCTCAGATGAATGCGTGGTTATTAGGGGTTTTATAAATGGAAAATCTTTTAGCTGTAAGTTTTTCCTTCGTTAACTACGATAGGGTTCTATGAAGAGTGGAAATGTAATTATAGTATATAGTTCCTTGTTTGTTGATGTTACGTTGGAATCTACAATTTTGTATTGGGTTTCATTCAGGTGATGATTTTGGCCCAATGATGGATATATCATTGATGGTGGTTCCGTTTGTTTTTTGTGTTCATCTTCGGCTTTTGCAATTGCGTATCACCTCGCTTCATTCTTTTGTGGGCAGGTGATGAAATTGGAAAGACAGATTGAACTAGATATGAGATCTAAGTAGTTTGGATCGAGTCTTAAATTTTAATCTAACTTTTAATTTTTGTAATTAATTCAAATAGAAATTTAAATTGGTACCGAAAGGACAATACAATAGAGTTAATCATTCTTTGATTACATTGACTCTTGAATCCGATTAACTATTGAGAAAACGCAAATCAGGTAAATGATAAGCTATGTTGTCCAGTCAATTTAATTTTAAATGATCGGCGGTAGTTACAACGAATCAAAATAAAGTCGAAACTCGATTCCAGCCTACTTGAAGGACGGTTATGACAAATATAATGAAAAAAACAAATTTTTTTAAAAAAATCTAAATGGGAACGAGGTTAAGAAAATTAACCTTTGTTAGATAATCTAAGATTGCCACAATACACAAGGCAGGCGGCATAATTTTCCAATTGAAAGAACCACTGTAAAGGGTTTGGATGATCATTTACCTCCAACTCTGCAGTAGGCAATGGTAGCTCTGGAGGTAAATGCTGGTGAAATGCATCCACCGCAGCAGCAACACCATCTTCGTTTTCTATCAGTTTTGCTAACTCCATCGCATGGGATTTCACCTGCGAGAAATCATGTTCCATTGAAAAGTTCCAACTTGAATGTAGCAATATTATCAACAGCATATGGAAGGTAGGATTCCACATATCAGAAACATGTTATGTGGATATGGGAATCCAATGCAATGGGTCATGAACTCATCAGTTGGAAGAATGATTATGATTCGCCAACGAAGAAGGCATCTTGGAGTAAGCTAATTCAAATCATCATTCAAATGGATTAAAATGAAACTAGATATGTTGAGCTGAGTTACGGATAACTCTTTTTTACATAGATGGTTTTGTTTTATGCCATTGAATAAATTCGTGTTTACTCAATAATCGGTTGATCATTAATTCGAAGATCATTCCTTGGAAGAAAAATACAATAATATAATTGCATCTGTTGACTACCACCTCACCATAACCCACTATCAAAGCCTGTTAGCATAACCACTACTTGTAACAATTTCATAAATTATGTACTCATCGTAAATGTAATAACATTAACTTGTTATTTCATATCCATGTAATGTAATGTAATGACATTAACTTGTAGTTTCATATCCATGTAATTTGATCTTTGAGAAAACACATAATTTTTGTATACCATGAATCCATCAAGTGACCTTAGTGGTTAAGGGTGGTGGTTTTTTCCTTAGAGATCCTAAATTCGAATAATTACATCTGTAGCGTGTGTGTGCATGGTCAATGGTTAAATGTTCTGGATAAATATGACCTTGTAATCACACGTGCTATTTTTAAAAAAATTGTATATTACAAGGGCTAATTAATATTCATTTCATGACTGAAAAGGGTGTAAATCTGAAAATGAAGTAGAAAGTGGTATTAAAATGAATATTAATTTTTTCAGGGCGATATTTTAGGGAAAAAATCAAAAGAAATCAGTAGTCATTAGAATTAAATGCAAGAATCACAAGAAGCATTGCCCAACGAACCCAACTCAGCCCTTTTTTTTTATCGAACTAACTCAGTCCTTTCCCACTATAAAACCAACCTATTATTATCCATTCCCTATAGATCTTCCCTTTATCGCTGAAACATGCACCAAATGGCAAGCTCCGCAGTCAAGTTCATGGCTTTGTTTTTTATTCTATCCTATGTGGGATCGAGTTTGGCGGCAGAGCATACAGTAGGTGACCAGCTTGGCTGGCGACCGTTCGTTAACTATTATAGTTGGGTTCGTAGCAAGTCCATTAAGCTAGGCGACACTTTGGGTCTGCTTCCTTCGCCATTCATTTTACGAAATATGTTATATTGTGTTAATATCTGCGAAAACTTTATGTATATTTTTTTTCTTTTATGTTGATTGAATAGTGTTCAACTATGATCCTACCAAAGATTATAGCGTGGCGGAGGTGACACAGTTTAAGTTCATCGCTTGCAACGCAAGTGATGCTAAGTTCTTCGACAAGAGCGGAAACATCACGGTGACCCTGCTCGAGTCCGGCCAGCATTACTTCATGGCTCAAGGCCATTGCTCGGATCAAATGGTGTTTTCAGTGCTGGTTTGACGGAGGAAGTTAAACACACTTCTTCGTGTTTTTATTTCAATAACATCTATTTCATGGCAATAGGCTTTTCAGTTTATAAAGTGGTCTTCAACTTTAACTATGAACTTGTGCGTTATAAAAAGTATCAATGAGTTTATGTCATTAAAAACAAAAGAATACTTATAATATATAAATAATCTTTGCAAGTCCTTTGCAAATTACGTTAATATGTATGTAATAATTAGATAATAAATATTTATTTTACAATTCATAAATAATTTTTTTTCAAAGAATATTCTTATTATATTACATTGTAAACTTAATTATAAGATGCAATTATTTTTTTCGTTAAAAAATGAATATAAAAATAAATAATTAATATTATAATCAATTAACGTAGCTTTTTTGAGAGCTGCTCCCGACGTGGGATTTCTTATTATATGTCATCTTTTAACCTTTTTTTTAAAAAAAATTTAAAAGTATCAAAGGTTTCTGCACTTGAAAAAAAACTCAATGTAACCCCTATAATTTTTTTAGATCAATATAGCACTTTAACTTGAAAAAGAATTTAATGTGATCTTTTGACTTATATTTTTGTCATTGACCAACTACTTCGTTACTTTGTGCTGACGTGGCACATCAAGGAACCCAATCCTCTGACTAATATTGTTATAAATTGAGTAAATTATGTCATTCATCATTCAACTATATTCTCTCTTAGATTTTGATCACTAAACTTTAAAAAATTTCAATTTAATCACTCAACTTTTAAATTACTCATATTTTAATCATCCTAACTTATTTTATTATTATTTATGTATGATGTGGCATTTATTATTATTTTATTAATATATGATTAAAATAATATTAATTAAATTAAAATTTCAAAATTGTGATTAAAGAAAACTCAAATCGAACTACGAAAAACACTAAATTGCTTTACTTTCCCTCTAATTTTCTATATTTACACAAAAGGAAAATAGAAACATAAAAAAAACTCAAAACAAAAAACGACATCGCTCTCCTTTGACCTTTGGATTCTTTCTCCTTTGTTTCTTATCCATGGAAGCTATGGATTTTCTGAGGTTTTGGGAAAATGGTTGTGGGAAAATAGAAACATTAAAAGAAAATTCAAAACAAAAAACAATGTTGTTATGAATTTTCTCCTTAATCTTTGACAACTGTCGTTTCGGATGTCAAAATAATTCCTTATTCTCAATCAATAAATAAAGGAAATACGTAGTATAGAGAAATAAGGGTCGAATCCTCAGGACTTAGAAAATCACAATTTAATGTTTGAATGGTTCTAACCAGCGAAAATAGTAAAAAGGGGGTTTGTAATATGAGATTAAAATAGTAAAAATAAATAAAAGCAATTTAAATAAAAATAAGAGTATAAAGATTGTGAATAAATATGGTAAAAGTAGCCTCAAGCTTCGCTTTGATTCAATTTCCTTTAGATCATCGAATAAGATTTTCTCTTCGGGATTCACGTTGGTTACTTTGTCTACAAGGGCTATCCTTGTGACTCTATCTTGTATACCGATTACCCAAGGCAATCTTTGATTCCGGCTTCGGTAATTGATTCTAACAACATCTATTGTCGTAGATCAAATACCGTTTAAGTTCGTGGCAACCAACTCAGATTGTTGTTTCTATAACCGTCAATTCCGATCTCAATTCCCTCTTGGCGAAGCTATCTCGCCAAGTGTGTTCCCAGGAAGTCGAATTGCTTTCTATAAGCCAAATCTTTCTCCCACACGTTTAATCGCAACAACCTCTTGACCAAATTCAATCTTTGATTTTGAAAACTGTTTTGATTTTTGAAAAATAAGCGCAGAGATTGAGAGAGATATTCCGAAGATATTAAGGGATCGTTTCAATTCTCCCGTTGGAATTGAATCATCGCGACAACTCTCGGCTTATGAAAAGTTTAGCTAAGCATGACAAAAGTCATACTTAGCATAAAAATAAAACTTGAAAAGAAAAATAATAAAATAATAAAAAATAAAAATAAAAAGAACTTGAAAAGGAAAAGAGAAAACTTTTATAAAAACTAGAGAGAAAAGAAGAATGTATTCCGAATGATGTGTTTAGGCTTACCCCAAGCGGGTATTTATAGCCTCTCAAAGCCTAAAGGATAAACAAAGAAAATAATAAAATAATAAAAAAGATAATTGTTTTAATTTAAATTCAAACTTAAACTAGTCTCCTAATGCAACTCTGCTCATCAATCTTCCAGAAGGCGTGCGGACGAAGTCTTCTAGAAACCGTCGCTGACTGGACCTTCTAGAAACTGCCACGTCAGACCGCGTCGTGCCCAGAGTCGTGCCCATGTCTCCAGCCGTGACCAAATAAAAAAATGCAGAATTAGCTCGTTTTGTTACAAATTCTGGAAAGCAAGGACATGTACAAAAACAAGTATAACACGACCAATTCAGCAGCAATAATTCGACAAAATCGAAGAAATAACGAGCAAAGATTAACGATTTTAAACACTCATCAAATTCCCCCTCACTTATCTCATGCTTGTCCTCAAGTATGATTAACCAAATCAGTCAAAAACTTCATTAAACGTTCTTTGTCAAGTTTCATATTCAAGGGAGCAAGGTAGAGACTACAATAACTATTCAAGTCAAGAAATCAATTAATTGAACATCACCAATTGGAACAAGTCAAGTGCAATTGTAATATCCATTCATTCATTAATCTCAATTCTCATAACTCAACACCTTACCGGGATTCACTCAAATTACTCAATGTGTTTGGGGTAAAGAAACGCTCAATGTCAGAATTTACACGGTATTACCATAAGCCTGCAAGTAAATCAAATTTCCACTACTAATAAGAACAAGATGCATAAATAAAAGGGTCTTTTATTGGTTGTAACGGGGCTTAGGTAAAGGTGGGGAAAAGGCTAAATATATGGCTAAAAATTCAAGGCAAGGAACTAACAAATAATAATCTCAACTCCATCAAAACATTAAGCACAACAAGATAAAAAGACGGTATATCAAACAACAAATTTCTTTTCGAAATGAATTTTTTTCTTTTTCAAACTTTGTTGTTTTGTTTTCTATTTCTTTTTCATGTGTTTTTTTCTTTTTTCTTTCTTTCGAATAGTCCATTTTTTTCTCTTTTTTTTCGTTTGAACTGTTATTTTTTTCGCATTCAACCTTTTTTTCCGATGGAGCATACAATGGTAAAATTGTTCACTTGCCCCGAAAAAGATAGAAAAGAGGGATAAAAAAAGGCTCGGGGTTTATAAATATGGTGAAAAAAAAAGAAAACGGAAAAAAGGCTCAAAAGTGGTTAACTAAGGGGAAAAATGCATGGGTAGGCTATTTAGTGGGGAAACGAAATGGTTAATCCTAAAGTGCCCAAATCATCTTTAAGCATCATGCTCATTTGTAATCTCGACAGTATTTAACATGCAGGTTCTAGAATATCAATGTCAAATTCGGCACACTCAATCAAACAAAATGAGAGCGAAAATGATATGCTCGTAAAGGCTCAAATCATGGAATATCACAAAAACACCAACTTATCACAATTCATGTTATTCGCTATCAAGAATATCCTAACATAAACAATAATGTGTTCCCAAACAATCATAGCATTCCGAAAATTTTCAACAAGACAAAAACAATCAATGAAATTTCCGACCAATTCAACCAACACATACTAGATTCAAAGCAAAAAGACAAGTGAAATGAAATTCAATCCTACACTCTATTCCCCCTCACTTGAAGTGTTTTGCCTCAAAACGAAAAATTAAAGTGCAAAAGAAGGAATAGAGTACTCCCCGGATTTTGTTACTGGCCACGACCATGGTGGGAGGTGCTAGGACAGTGAAGTGTGTTGCCTGGTTTGATGCCGTGAACTTGAAACATTATCAGGCTGTGTTGTCGGTGGAAAACCAGTATCTAAATCCCTTGTAAAACCATAAACCTGATGAGTAATAATTTAATAGAAATAGGATCAAAATTTACCTCCGAAGTATTCGCTAAATCGCCGAACAGGAGAGAGACGGTGAGTGCGAATGCCGAACGATGTGGTTGGAGTGTTTGGTGCTAGCTTCGGCATCATCGTGTTGTTGGTTCCTCATGCGTACCATCGTGGATGGAGGGGATGAAACACGTTAGCAAGGCGTAGATACCGTCGGTGGTGAGTAGAAGGAAGGCGATGGTTTCGCATTTTGGGAGGGGAGCGATCGGGGATGGGGGAGATGAAGAGGAGAATGTTGGTTGAATTGGGATTATTTTGTCACTGCCGTGCGTGGGAGGGGGTATTTAAATTTGAGTCAAAATGGTATTTTGTTTGTTAGGATAATGGGTGTTGAAAATTGAAAAAGTGGATGGATGAGGATAGGGGTGGGGTCCATGATAAAGTAAAAATGGGAGAGAAGAGAAGGTGGGCGGCAGAAAATAAATAAAATGTGGAAAAATTATTTTTGGGTTTTGCTATCGTGCGCCAAGCCTTCATTGGGTTTTGCTAACGTGCGCCGTTAATGAAACGGTGCGTATAGCTGGGCTTCTCCTCTTTTCCTACTTTGTTCGACTATTTACTGCTCAACAGACTCCGAAATTAGCACTGTTCGAATCATAATCTAGCAAATCCTCGTCGTTTAAGTTTGAATAAAAATATTCGATTCCTGCAAAATAAAAATTAAATTAAACATGCTTGAATGAATAAAAATAAAATGAAACAAAAAGTAAAGATAAAAATAAAAAATATAACGGAATTGAAAACAATGGGTTGCCTCCCATAAAGCGCTTTTGTTTAACGTCGTTAGCTCGACAACCTGATTCAGACTACAGGTTCCGTGACAGACACTTCCACTTCATTCGCTTTTTCCAACTAAGAAATTCCTTATGAGAAATTTGAAAATTCTCACAAAGATTTCTTCGGATATTTCCCAATTTTAAAATCTTGTCCAGAAGAATGGCCGTCAAAACATCTTTTTTAACAAAAAATGATTTCTTCAAACGGCTCCTTGATGATTTCGACTTAATTTTTGGTGCCTGCAAAAAGGAAG